GTTTATATCCTACATTAGATTTGTAAGCATATAATGCTTCACCGAACACTCACAGGAGGGGGCTTGGCTGTCTACAAATAAAGACGGCTCATTTGAATTCTCCCCAAATATATTGAGGCTGAACCTGAACTTTGAATTCTCTGCTCCCATCATAATCTTGGCGATCTTGTTAAAATAGTTAATGCAGAATTAAAAATACTATGTAACTGGTTTGCAGTTAATAAATTATCCCTTAATGTGGCCAAAACAAATTACATGTTATTCAATACAAAGTCTGAGAGTAGGAATGACTGCATTATACGGATTTGCAATACAGAGATAGCAAAAGTTGGTGCATGTACATTTTTAGGACTGCTTGTTGAGGAAAAACTCAATTGGAAGCACTATATAAATTATGTACAGACTAAACTGTCAAAAACAATAGGTATTTATCATACTAAGAACATTCTTGAAGAAAATATACTCTTTATAACAGTCTATTTCTCCCTTACCTTTAATACTGCTCCGAAATATGGGGAAACACGTTCTTAACAAATCTACAAAAAATAATAACATCCCAAAAAAAAGAATTACGAATAGTCTGTGGTGTTGGTAAATATGAACACACAACTCCCATATTTAAAAAAAACTCAATCTATTAAAATGTGTTGAGAGAGTACAGCTTAAAACAGTACTGATTATGCACAACATTTTCCATAACAAAATGCCTAATAACATTCAAAAGCAGTTCCAAACCACAGCGTGAACATATGAATGTAAAAAAAGTCACTTGAAAATAAGTGTTCACAATGTTTATATGCAATTATGCATATATTATTATTATTATTATTATTCATTTGCCAAGTGCATGTAATTTCCAAAAAAAGATAGTTGAAACTGCTATTGACATGTGCAGAAAATGACCATATATCTAGTTTTCGTATATATATATATATATATATGCATTTATTGTTTTCTTGCCCTAACTTTTATTTAATTTGTTCTCCTGTTTCCTTTATTTTTGTGTACTCCTTCATTTCTATACGTTTTTGACGCAATAATGCCGCTGTATTAGAATGATGCACGGGAGGGCTACTTTCCACAAGCTATGCTTCAGCCCTCCCGCTTCTACTAATTTTGTTCATCTTTGTGTGTATGAATTAAACTTTTTTTGTTTTTCGAATGAATGAATACAAAAATTTAAAAATACTTTCAGCTTGGGGGCCCCCTAGTGGCCACGGGGGCCCTATGCCCCCGCATAGTCCGCATATAGGAAGAAACGGCCCTGGTAGAAGTACACCATGTACCTCTGAACTGTAGAGGAGGAGTACACCATGTACCTCTGAACTGTAGTGGAGTAGAAGTACACCATGTACCTCTGAACTGTAGAGGAGGAGTACAACATATACCTCTGAACTGTAGTGGAGTAGAAGTACACCATGTACCTCTGAACTGTAGTGGAGTAGAAGTACACCATGTACCTCTGAACTGTAGAGGAGGAGAAGTACAAAGTAGAATCAAATGGAAATACTAAAGTAAAGTACAAGTACCTCAAAGTTGTACTTAAGTAAATGTACTTAGGTACCTTACACCTCTGCAGAAAACACATGTATCACTGAAGTATAAAGAAGATACTGAATGTTTTGAAAACTCTACACACATCAGATGATGGTTTCCTTGTGTAGGTATGTGGCGCCCCCTGCTGGTGAACTATGTGGCGCCCCCTGCTGGTGAATGAAGGGACAGTCTGCTTCACTGGAACACTGTTTAACTGTGAAATACTTTTATATATTTATTCCCCTCTCTACTTTGGAATTAAATAAAAAATACAAAGATACTATTAAATAAAATAGGAACATCTTTAATAAACATCCATCTTCCCCCGCTTATCCGTGGTCGGGTCTCGGGGGTATCAGTTCCAGCAGAGAGCCCCAAACGTTCCTTTCCCCTCATCAACCAGCTCTGACTGGGGGATCCCAAGGCGCTCCCAGGCCAGAGAAGAGATATAATCCCTCCACCTGGTCCTAGGTAGAGATATAATCCCTCCACCTGGTCCTAGGTAGAGATATCATCCATCCACCTGGTCCTAGGTAGAGATATCATCCCTCCACCTGGTCCTAGGTAGAGATATCATCCCTCCACCTGGTCCTAGGTAGAGATATCATCCATCCACCTGGTCCAGGGTAGAGATATCATCCCTCCACCTGGTCCTAGGTAGAGATATCATCCCTCCACCTGGTCCTAGGTAGAGATATCTTCCCTCCACCTGGTCCTGGGTAGAGATATCATCCCTCCACCTGGTCCTAGGTAGAGATATCATCCCTCCACCTGGTCCTAGGTAGAGACATAATCCCTCCACCTGGTCCTAGGTAGAGATATCATCCCTCCACCTGGTCCTAGGTAGAGACATAATCCCTCCACCTGGTCCTAGGTAGAGATATCATCCCTCCACCTGGTCCTAGGTAGAGATATCATCCCTCCACCTGGTCCTGGGTAGAGATATCATCCCTCCACCTGGTCCTAGGTAGAGATATCATCCCTCCACCTGGTCCTAGGTAGAGATATCATCCCTCCACCTGGTCCTAGGTAGAGATATCATCCCTCCACCTGGTCCTAGGTAGATATATCATCCTCCACCTGGTCCTAGGTAGAGATATCATCCCTCCACCTGGTCCTGGGTATATATCATCCCCCCACCTGGTCCTAGGTAGAGATATCATCCCTCCACCTGGTCCTAGGTAGAGATATCATCCCTCCACCTGGTCCTAGGTAGAGATATCATCCCTCCACCTGGTCCTAGGTAGATATATCATCCTCCACCTGGTCCTAGGTAGAGATATCATCCCTCCACCTGGTCCTAGGTAGATATATCATCCCCCCACCTGGTCCTAGGTAGAGATATCATCCCTCCACCTGGTCCTGGGTATATATCATCCCCCCACCTGGTCCTAGGTAGAGATATCATCCCTCCACCTGGTCCTGGGTATATATCATCCCCCCACCTGGTCCTAGGTCTACCCCTCGGTCTATAAACATGTTAAAGTGAAAATGCACACATTGTACTACACTTTATAAATATGTAAAAATGTGTACATACAAATATGTACAGTGTCGTGTTTGTATTAATAAAGAGGCTAATGATGAAAACTATATAAATATAATATATACAGTCTATTATACAGTATATTCTAGACATGAACATGATTCATGTAAATAGAACACATCAGCTTTACAATGTATGCTATAATGTACAGGAAAAACATATCCACTACTTACAACAACAACAACAACAACAACAACAATATATAAAGAAACACATGTCAAATAGACGAGAAAGAACATAAAATAAGTTCCCAACATTAGAAGGTCATGTGTGTGTGTGTGTGTGTGGGTGTGTGAGAGTATGTGTGTTAGTGTGTGTGTGTGTGTGTGTGTGTGTGTGTGTGTGTGTGTGTGTGTGTGTGTGTTAGTGTGTGTGTTTTATTGTGTGTGTGTTAGTGATATGTTAATGTCATGTTTTATGTCTTCAGTGTCAACAAAATAATGGGGAAATTCCTACACACACACACACACACACACACACACACACACACACACACACACACACACACACACACACACACACACACACACACACACACACACACACACACACACACACACACACACACACACACACACACACACACACACACACACACACACACACACACACACACACACACACACAATGCTAAAGGTTGCAGTATTAGTACACACTCGTATATACATTTAAACGTTTCCTAGCCAACAGTTTATGAAACACATGTTGTACTTTCAGACCAAAGCAAACATGTATTCACTGACTGTGTCTGCAGACCCTGAACTCACCAGAAGGCTCCGCCTCTATGGTGAGTTCAGGTACTTCAACCTGCCAGTAAACGTGTAATGTATGAAGCACAGTGTTCGTGCCAGGGATGAAGGGGGGGGGGGGGGGGGGGGGGGGGGGTTCATGGTGATATTATCTGTTAGTTATAACCCTTTCTCCTGTAGTCTGTTCTCATGTAGTCTGTTCTCATGTAGTCTGTTCTCATGTAGTCTGTTCTCATGTAGTCTGTTCTCCTGTAGTCTGTTCTCCTGTAGTCTGTTCTCATGTAGTCTGTTCTCATGTAGTCTGTTCTCATGTAGTCTGTTCTCCTGTAGTCTGTTCTCATGTAGTCTGTTCTCATGTAGTCTGTTCTCCTGTAGTCTGTTCTCATGTAGTCTGTTCTCATGTATCTGTTCTCATGTCATGTAGTCTGTTCTCATGTAGTCTGTTCTCATGTAGTCTGTTCTCATGTAGTCTGTTCTCCTGTAGTCTGTTCTCCTGTAGTCTGTTCTCCTGTAGTCTGTTCTCATGTAGTCTGTTCTCATGTAGTCTGTTCTCATGTAGTCTGTTCTCCTGTAGTCTGTTCTCATGTAGTCTGTTCTCATGTAGTCTGTTCTCATGTAGTCTGTTCTCATGTAGTCTGTTCTCATGTAGTCTGTTCTCATGTAGTCTGTTCTCATGTAGTCTGTTCTCATGTAGTCTGTTCTCATGTAGTCTGTTCTCCTGTAGTCTGTTCTCCTGTAGTCTGTTCTCCTGTAGTCTGTTCTCATGTAGTCTGTTCTCATGTAGTCTGTTCTCATGTAGCAGTAATCTGTAATCAGTGCTTTGACTTCACTGGAAACTAAAGGTTCTTCTTGACTGCAGGATCTTTACTGTCTAGCTTCCGACTCTTCTTTCACCTCTGTCACCACATGAGGAAGCTGCTCTATCAGTGTGTCTGCGAGCGTGTGTGTGTGTGTGTGTGTGTGTGTGTGTGTGTGTGTGTGTGTGTGTGTGTGTGTGTGTGTGTGTGTGTGTGTGTGTGTGTGTGTCAGGAGTTTCCAGTGTGGGCGTGGCCAGGCTGCAAACAGGAAGTAGAGTGTGTGTAGTTTCTGAGTAATTTCCAATGTTCCTGTGAGAGGGCTATAAAGCCGGCAGGAACTGCAATACTTCAAATACCGTGAGTACTGTGAGTACTGTTACTTTAAGTTCTTTACATTTTGCTGTACATTCAGTACTTTTACTGCAAGTACTTTGTGTTGATAATACTTAGCACAGTCAGGAGCTTTACTTTCTAGAAACTCTCACACTGCACTCTGTGTGTCATACTGCAAGTACTTTAGAAATACCGTGAGTACTATTGAGAGAGTACAGTTGTTTTTTTACTGCACAATCAGTGCTTTTACTCTGAGTACTTTTTGTTGATAATTCTTCAGTCAGGTTTTGTTTGCAGGATTTTTACTTTCTAGGCAAACAGGAAGTAGAGTGTATATATATATATATGTATTTAGTCACTTTTTCCACTTGTTCCTGTGAGGAGAGTGCGACTCCCTGCAGGGACACACTGCAGTACTTCAAATACTCTGTAGATACCGTAAGTACTGTGTGAGTACTTTTACTGTCCGAACTTTGTGTTGATAATACTTCGGTCAGGATTTTTATTTTCTAGGCAAACAGGAAGTACAGTGTGTTTTTAAAGTCATGTTTTCCATACGTTTCTGTGAGAGCTTAACACAGCTCGACTCACTGCAAACTTAAAGTACTTCATAAATACCGTGAGTACTACTGAGAGAGTTCTGTGTTTTTTTACTGCACAATCAGGAGCTCCAGGATGGAGGCGGTGCTCCTGGCCCTGCTGCCCGGCTGCAGCGCCTCCTGCCTCGGCCTCTCCCCCTCTCTCTCGCGACCCGCTCTGGTGCTCCAGCTGGATAGCGGCTCCACAACAGAGACTCTCTTCCGGTTCAAACTGACCGCGGATCAGCTGGGGATCAGCACCGTGCGCGTGCACACCACTGCGCGCGGCCGCGACGTGCTGCGGCGCTACCAGCAGCTGCTGTTCACGAGCCTGTACACCTTTGATTACCAGGTGCATTACGTCACCTGCTGCACAGACCACGCCCACAAACGCTCACCTGGAGGAAAGGAAGTGGAGGAAGAGGTTTCCGGGTTCCTGCAGCAGCTTCCTGCTCAGAGGGGGTGCGTGCAGGTGCTGAAGTCCCCTCTGATCCCAGGTACAATACATTTAGGGTTTTAATGTCTCCTCAATATAGCAGTAATGTAATCAGTGTTGTGTTAACAGAAACCCCATTGGTCAGACAGTTTATAGGTTTGTCTCTTTATTTGTCTTACTCTCTTAATCTGGTTTATTTTTATTTCTATTTGAGATGCTAATATGTTAGAATAGTTTGTTTTTACTCAGAGTACATTTGATCTTATCTTCATCAAATGCAATGCAAATAGATACAAGAGCACGGAAGAGGATGAGGGACGCTTTGAGTTCATCTCAGAATTCAGATGATGTTTTCCCTGAAAGATAATAGTCTGAATTTTAGGGGGGATTTTGGTCAAATCCCAACCGTTCTGTCTCATGTTGCCCTCATCCTCTTCCTTTCAAACAAAGACCAATAAGACGGGTTTTACTTCAGATAAGAGAAGACTTTATTCATCCTGAAGGAAATGGTTGTGCCAGTTACAAAGATACAATAAACAGTGCAGTGAAAAGAGCATTCAATAGCAACAGGAAGTATAGCCGGCCGCATCATGAATGTGAAACACTGTACGGAGACGAGCAGTTACAGAACATGGGAATCAAGTGTTATTTATAGAGCACATTTATAAGCGATGTTTGGTGGAGCCAAAGTGCTGAACATATAATACAAATAGCCTACAGTAGAGACACTTTACAGCCAATACAACACCCTCTGTCCTCAGACTACGCAGACCCTCTGTACGCAGACCCTCCGTCCTCAGACCGTCCGTCCTCGGACCCTCTGTCCTCGGACCCTCTGTCCTTAGACCCTCACATCGTACAAGGAAAAGCTTCCAGAGAAACCCCACAGTTTAAAGGGAACATGGGAGAAAGCTCAGGGAGAGCAGCAGAGGAGGGATCCCTCTCCCAGGACGGACAGACAATAGATGCCGTGTGGAAATCCAAGAGATAATACATTTTACAGCATATAGACCGAATGTTAGGAAATGCATGTGTCTGTAATAAGAAGATGAATCTACGAGGATGTCAGCTCCAATCCTGTGGATTGAATCAGGATTGGAATGAATCCCTTCCTCTCCCTCAGAGTGCTTCGGTCACGGCTTCAGCACCCGTGCAGGCGGCGTCTCGTCCATCGCCTCGCTCTCCTCTCTGAACCTGTTCAGCAGCAGCAGGAGGAGAGACTCATTGTCCGTGGTGCAGGAGAACCGGAGGAGACTGGCTCTGAAGGCAGGCTTCAACCCCCGAGACCTGCAGCTGGTCAAGGTACTGAACTGCTAGACGGTCCTGAAGGGTCCTGAAGGGTCTGTTAAAGATCTCCTACTATCTTCAGATATCACAGGTCTCAGATATAAGGACATGTCTCTGAAGTGTCCTGCTCCAAACCCCAAACAGGTCCTTGTAGCCCCCCCCCCTCTCTTCCAGCTGTTACTAAGGACATGTCTCTGAAGTGTCCTGCTCCAAACCCCAAAAAGGTCCTTGTAGCCCCCCCCCCCTCTCTTCCAGCTGTTACTAAGGACATGTCTCTGAAGTGTCCTGCTCCAAACCCCAAACAGATCCTTGTAGCCCCCCCCCCTCTCTTCCAGCTGTTACTAAGGACATGTCTCTGAAGTGTCCTGCTCCAAACCCCAAACAGGTCCTTGTAGCCCCCCCCCCTCTCTTCCAGCTGTTACTAAGGACATGTCTCTGAAGTGTCCTGCTCCAAACCCCAAACAGGTCCTTGTAGCCCCCCCCCCTCTCTTCCAGCTGTTACTAAGGACATGACTCTGAAGTGTCCTGCTCCAAACCCCAAACAGATCCTTGTAGCCCCCCCTCCCCCTCTCTTCCAGCTGTTACTAAGGACATGTCTCTGAAGTGTCCTGCTCCAAACCCCAAACAGGTCCTTGTAGCCCCCCCCCCTCTCTTCCAGCTGTTACTAAGGACATGTCTCTGAAGTGTCCTGCTCCAAACCCCAAACAGATCCTTGTAGCCCCCCCCCCCTCTCTTCCAGCTGTTACTAAGGACATGTCTCTGAAGTGTCCTGCTCCAAACCCCAAACAGATCCTTGTAGCCCCCCCCCCCTCTCTTCCAGCTGTTACTAAGGACATGTCTCTGAAGTGTCCTGCTCCAAATCCCAAACAGGTCCTTGTAGCCCCCCCCCCCTCTCTTCCAGCTGTTACTAAGGACATGTCTCTGAAGTGTCCTGCTCCAAACCCCAAACAGATCCTTGTAGCCCCCCCCCCTCTCTTCCAGCTGTTACTAAGGGCATGTCTCTGAAGTGTCCTGCTCCAAACCCCAAACAGATCCTTGTAGCCCCCCCTCTCTTCCAGCTGTTACTAAGGACATGTCTCTGAAGTGTCCTGCTCCAAACCCCAAACAGATCCTTGTAGCCCCCCCCCCTCTCTTCCAGCTGTTACTAAGGACATGTCTCTGAAGTGTCCTGCTCCAAACCCCAAACAGGTCCTTGTAGCCCCCCCCCCCCTCTCTTCCAGCTGTTACTAAGGACATGTCTCTGAAGTGTCCTGCTCCAAACCCCAAACAGATCCTTGTAGCCCCCCCCCTCTCTTCCAGCTGTTACTAAGGACATGTCTCTGAAGTGTCCTGCTCCAAACCCCAACAGATCCTTGCAGCCCCCCCCCTCTCTTCCAGCTGTTACTAAGGACATGTCTCTGAAGTGTCCTGCTCCAAACCCCAAACAGGTCCTTGTAGCCCCCCCCCTCTCTTCCAGCTGTTACTAAGGACATGTCTCTGAAGTATCCTGCTCCAAACAGATCCTTGTAGCCCCCCCTCTCTTCCAGCTGTTACTAAGGACATGTCTCTGAAGTGTCCTGCTCCAAACAGGTCCTTGTAGCCCCCCCCCCTCTCTTCCAGCTGTTACTAAGGACATGTCTCTGAAGTATCCTGCTCCAAACAGGTCCGTGTAGCCCCCCCCCCCTCTCTTCCAGCTGTTACTAAGGACATGTCTCTGAAGTGTCCTGCTCCAAACCCCAAACAGATCCTTGTAGCCCCCCCCCCCCCCCCCTCTCTTCCAGCTGTTACTAAGGACATGTCTCTGAAGTGTCCTGCTCCAAACCCCAAACAGATCCTTGTAGCCCCCCCCCCCTCTCTTCCAGCTGTTACTAAGGACATGTCTCTGAAGTGTCCTGCTCCAAACCCCAAACAGATCCTTGTAGCCCCCCCCCCCCCTCTCTTCCAGCTGTTACTAAGGACATGTCTCTGAAGTGTCCTGCTCCAAACCCCAAACAGATCCTTGTAGCCCCCCCCCCTCTCTTCCAGCTGTTACTAAGGACATGTCTCTGAAGTGTCCTGCTCCAAACCCCAAACAGATCCTTGTAGCCCCCCCCCCCTCTCTTCCAGCTGTTACTAAGGACATGTCTCTGAAGTGTCCTGCTCCAAACCCCAAACAGATCCTTGCAGCCCCCCCCCCCTCTCTTCCAGCTGTTACTAAGGACATGACTCTGAAGTGTCCTGCTCCAAACCCCAAACAGATCCTTGTAGCCCCCCCCCCCCTCTCTTCCAGCTGTTACTAAGGACATGTCTCTGAAGTGTCCTGCTCCAAACCCCAAACAGGTCCTTGTAGCCCCCCCCCTCTCCTCCAGCTGTTACTAAGGACATGTCTCTGAAGTGTCCTGCTCCAAACCCCAAACAGGTCCTTGTAGCCCCCCCCCTCTCCTCCAGCTGTTACTAAGGACATGTCTCTGAAGTGTCCTGCTCCAAACCCCAAACAGATCCTTGTAGCCCCCCCCACCTCTCTTCCAGCTGTTACTAAGGACATGTCTCTGAAGTGTCTGAGAGTGAGAGTCTCCTGACACACCGGGGACACACCGGGGAAACACCGGGGACACACCGGGACACACCGGGGAAACACCGGGGACACACCGGGACACACCGGGGACACATGGTGATGTAGAGAAGACATCAAAAAGTACATTCTGCATGATAGGAGAGCTCTAATGACAGCATGAGGTGTGGATGTTACAGTGTGGATGTTAAAGTGTATGCAATGCCCCCTACAGGTGGACCACGGCAGTGCAGTGTGGGTGGTGGGGGGGGCGGAGCCTGAGAGATATGACGCTATGGTGACGGATCAGAGGGGGCGGGTCTTAGCGGCTCCGGGGTCCGACTGCATGCCCCTCCTCTTCGCTGACCAGGGGTCAAAGGTCATCGGAGCCGCACACGCTGGTAAATACTGATGAGGTCATTCTCACTCACTCACCAACTAACTAGCTAAATGACACTAACTAACAAACACATTAACTAACTAGCTAAATGACACTAACTAACAAACACATTAACTAACTAGCTACATGACACTAACTAACAAACACATTAACTAACTAGCTAAATGACTCTAACTAACAAACACATTAACTAACTAGCTAAATGACACTAACTAACAAACACATTAACTAACTAGCTAAATGACACTCTAACTAACAAACACATTAACTAACTAGCTAAATGACACTCTAACTAACAAACACATTAACTAACTAGCCAACTAAATAACTAACTGACTATCTGAGCTACACAGTGTTTTGAGCAACACATTCCTCGCTGTTTTAAACTTCTGATTATTGTTAAACTACTGGTTTAGTCAAATAAGTTAAGTTTGTTAGTCACGTGTTTGACATAATAAACACTCTGATAAATGTGTGGGAGTAAAGAGTTAAATATCTGAGAGGAAGCAGGAAGTAGAAACACCTGGATAAAAAGGTAAACAATCACTTCCTGGTCCTGCAGGGTGGAAGGGGACCCTGGAGGGCGTTGCCATGGCGACGGTGGGAGCCATGGTAACGGAGTTTGGTTGCCGGGCGAGGGACATCGTGGTTGCCGTGGGGCCGTCAGTGGGGGGGTGCTGCTTCACGCTGGACAGGAAGCAGGCGCTCCACTTCCTGTTGCTCCATCCAGACTGCGTGAAAGACCCCGAGGCCGAGAGGCCGCACGTCAACATACGCCTCGCCAACAGGTACTAATACACACAAATACTACCATCAGCAGAGTTGGGTGTAACGCGTTACAAAGATTCAATTGATCTCCAGTTATAACGCCGGACTCCGCCGCCGGAGCTAACGGAGCCGCAGGGGGCTAGCTAGCTCCCTGCGGCTCCGTTAGCTTCGTGGCGGACTCCGGCGTCCACCACTGGGTTAATTGCAGTCATCGCCTATCGGCCAATAGATGAACTGCAGTTTGTGGCACTTCCTTATGGGCGTCCCGGCTCTGCCCAGAGTTTGCCTCTTGAGTTAAACTCAGTTCTTAAGACCTGAGTTTTCGTCTGATTTTATTTATTTATTTGTAAAAAAATATGTTTTTATTTACTGATTATTATTTTTCTTGAATAAAATATAATTGTTTTGGAATAAATAAAATATATAATTTATATATATTTTTAAGTTCTTAGAATTCTGAAAAGCAAAGTGTTTTTTTTGTATATATTTTTTCAGGTTGTTTTTGTTGAAAAATGTATAATTCTGAAACCAACAACCTCTTTATTACCCAGAATCCTCCTGGAGCGCGGCGGCGTGCTGCCCGGGAACATCGACGACAGCTCGGTGTCAGAGTGCACCTCCTGCCACACCGAGCTCTTCTTCTCTCACGTCAGAGACGGACTGAACTTCGGCACCCAGCTGGGCTTCCTGTGGATCAGAGAGGAAGAGGAGGGAGAGGAGGAAGAGGAGGGGAGAGAGAGAGAGACTGACAGGTAGACAATAGTAGGAAATACACAGAGTACACATGAGATGTACTTTATACTACTCCACTACATGTGTTTTAATGTTTATTACAAGTTGTTGTATTTAAATAAAAAAATGTATATCTGAGAAAATATAAGACGTGTCTGGGAATAATTTCGCCCTGCATGTTTACCTTTGCCCCCTGACGCAGATGACCTACGTTGAGCAGCTGCTATCTCCCTTAAGGAGGGGCTTGTTGCCAGTTTGTGAGCGGGCAGCTCTCGGTCAGAGATAGTTGTTGTTGTGGGACACCTGGAACACATCCTTCTCGGGGTGTAGATGACCCCGAGCAATAAGCGACAACAAAGTTGATTCAGTGTCGAGCGGCCAAAATCCTATAGAACTGAAACAGATAGTTAACTTCACAGCCGCTGAGGCACTAGTTAGCGGATCTTACGCAGGCAATGATCCAGACAAGATTCTCCGTTGTGCATTTTATTCCTATGACAAAATACAATGAACAGGTTTCCTATATCTCTTTCCTTAAGCCTTTCCCTTGTGTAGCTTGAAACACCCTGGTAAGAACCCGTTTGCCTCCTAGTGCTCTGGCTCCCACCACCCACCTGTCTCCAATACAATTACACCAGGTGCTCTAATCACCCAGTGCCCAAAACATGCCTTCAAAATAAAAGCATAGAAACTACTTTAACTTATGACGCTAACTAAGAATACATATAAATACATGATAATAATAAACACTATAAACAGCAAGAAAATAAATGTTAAACTATTAAATAATATAAAGAGATATATATATATATATATATAACTCCAACAGTGTCCTCAGCTGTTTAGTCTATCTATTGAAGAATGTTGATTATTACACTCCGAGTTAAAACCTGGAGCTACAGGAGGGCTCTTCAGGATGGAATTCTGAGCATAAATGTGGGGTGGGTAAGAATGGAGAGAGCAGCTCGAGTGGGCTAGAATTTGAAAGTACGCAGCCGGAACAGATCGGCCCCTTCCTTCAGACTTCCTCACAGAGCCCCTCCCCCAACACACAGAAACGCGCTCATGACCAATGAGGGCAGAGATCAGTCTGTGCCCCGATGGAAGGCTGACAGGCAGGTAGGCCATCCAGTTACTTTAGCCGGCTCAGATGATTGGTCGAGCTTTCTACAGCGCCACGGCTTCCACTGATGATGTGTTTTAATGTATGTATTGTCAAAGCATTTCATGTATTCATTGCTATCGGGATGTTAAGAGCACTCCATGGAATATAGTGTTTCTGAAGTGAATTACCTAGCCCACCTTTAATGTCACATTGCAAGTTATTTTTCTTCATTGGAGTTTTCACTTCTATTATTTAGATCTTCATTTTCTAAATGTAATTATTATGTTGCACGAGACATTAATGCAACAACTGTCCTGAACAGCAGCGAGTAATCAAATGTAATAATATCTCAGGATTCTGAAAATGAATCTTCTTATTTAATTTTCTCTGAGAAATATTTATTTTTGATAATCTCTAAAGCATGAGAAATCGTTATCTTTATTACAAACATATTTTTAAAAAATGCTCTTTTTTTTATAATCTCTAAATGATGTTTAAAAAATAGAAATAATAAATACACAAAATATTTGTCAGTATTTTTTTTATAATCTCTAAATGATGTTTAAAAAATAGAAATAATAAATACACAAAATATTTGTCAGTATTTTTTTTTCTCAAACCTCAAAATTCTATTGTCTCTTTAAAAACATCTCGTTCTTGCTGCAAATCTAAGAATTCACTGAAGTATTTTATGAGGTAGAACAACATGTTAAATCTCTTCAGCTTGTTTCAAACAGACCTGATTTCAGGAAAATAACCAGAAACACATTCAGAACACCATTGACCTCCAGACCAGAGGACAGGAAGTGAGGAAATACTGAGAGCTTAATTCTCAAGACATTAGTTTGATCCCCTAAAACAACAAATGATGTTTTAAAATGTACTACTTACTGATTAGTGAATGTATACAGAAACAAATGACCAAACACATCAAATATAGTTTTAAGAGCCTCTGTAAACCAACGGTTAAATGACGAGTGATATCGATTATTTCAGAACCAGAGCGACACGTCTCCGGGGTTCAGACACGTTTATTGGGACGTCTCCGTTGTCTTTCAAAAGCAGCCCTTTTTCAGTTCGAACAGGAGCATAGCTCAGGTTTCCACTGAAGCAAACTTTCAATGTTCAAACTCACATTTCATTCTTCATAAACATTTAACAAACAGATGGTGAAACATTAGAGGATTTCAATATTAATAAAACGTTTTTGTTCCGTCCAACTGTCTTCGCATCAGATATAAAAAAAAGGAATATTTTGAGAAATAAAACTTTCTTTGTTCAGAATTGTTTTTTAATATTTTACAAAAAAAGTTTTTTAAGCAAAAAGTTGAAATATCTCGGGAAATAATTTGGTAAATGTTTTTTGGAAAAGCAGTCGTTCCAAGTGGTTTCTAAAGGCCCTGACACACCAAGCTGACACCAAAGAACACGTCCCGACGGACCCGACTGTTGTCGCCTCACGTCTCCTGGCCAAACAGTCGCACTGGAACACACCGCAAAGACTTCAGCCGACGGCCAAGTAGCACGTACGCACTGCACATGCGTGAGTGGCAATAACTCTCCTTACCAGCAGGCGGCAGTAGTGTGTATTCGTCTTTCAAAAGAGGCAACCGGAAGACAGACTACGTGATATATACAAACAACAAATAGCGTGCGTTCCATTTTCACTCTCGTCCATCGAAAACATGTTTCGTGCGGTACTGGCGGTATCAGCCCTTGGAAGCAGATAGATGAAAAGGAAAAACAATAGCCGTCTGTGTGCCTTCTTAATCGTTTGCTTGCGTACCTCGCTTCTCATGCACTGATTCGCTAAGCTGAACAGCCAATCAGAGTGATTTCTTTTGCCGACAGCCTCCCGATTCAACAAGGTGTCGACACGGCCGAAAAGACACGACGGTGCGGGACACACCAATCTGAGTAGGGCGACAGGACGTTCATCGACGGCCAGACATCCATCGACGGCCAACATCGGCTTGGTGTGTCCGGACCTTTAAACAAAGCTAGTAGTGTTTATAGCAAAAATATGTATTTTTATATATTTCTATAAAAACGTTGTTTTTTTTAAATAAAGCAAAATAAAGTCACATTTTGGGAAATCGTCCGAACAAACTTTGAACTTTAATTCATTTTAAAATGAAAGAAAAACATTAAAAAAAAAACAAAGTCAAAACTTTTCAATGGTTGTGTTTCTGATTTCATGTTAAAATGTAGACGAACCTTAAACACAAAACATCTTTCTGGAATTAAATCCTTAAATAAAGATTATAAATAAAGTTTACCATCATTTAGTCTGAAAAACATCAGGTCTCTTTTTGTTAAACTTGGTCGTGGTGCAGATTCTGTCAATAAGACATGTCTCTCCAACACTAAACATGTTTCCATCACAGAGTTAAACATCACTTCTCTCTGCTCTCAGTTACGGTACGTCCACACGGCAGCTCCAACGGAGATGCTCCCCATTCACTTTGAATGGGGCGACGTCACGCTTTGCCGAACTGCATTGAGGTTCCGTCGAGTCGCTTTGACTCCGTTGCTCGCTTCGAAAGTTGAGAAATGTTCAACTTTTCAAGCGTCGACGGAAGCGCCAGCCAATCAAACCGCGTGCTTGTGTGTCGGGGCAGGACATTAATGCGATTGGTTGTTGGTCGCATGCTTCAACGCACGCTGCCGTGTGGACGTACCGTTAGAAAACACTTTAAATAACAAGCAGCTCTCACTGCGAAAATAAAATAGAGAAACGATGAAGAGGATTAGGGACACTTTGTTTTGGATCCGACCAAAAGGGTTGTTTTCTTTAAGTTCAGAGAAAAAACGTCAAAATTCTGAGAAAACAAAAAAGTCAGAATTCCAAGAAAAAAGTCTAAGATTTGGAGAAAAAAAAGTCAGAATTCCGAGAATCTTTTTGAAATATTGAATTCTGACTTGATCTCAGAAGTCAAACATGTACTTTCGGTCAGATGTAAAGAGACCTCCCATCAGGCCCTAACCCTCCTCCGGAGGTCAACAACACATCAGAGACTAAATCATACATCTGACTTTAAGCACCGTAGGATTTCAGTTTTTAAATCACTGACAGGAAACCTGAACAAACTGCATTTCCCATGATGCATTGGGGTGATGATGAAGAGGATGGGATCCAACCAGCTCACATATTTATGTTGCATCCATGTGTGCTCGTTCATTTTAAGGTACATTTGTCTGTTATACGCAATATCATCGGAAATGATTTTAAATCAAAGTGAGCTGCAGATTTAAGCAAGCGGCTAAATTGTGTTTACATTTCAGAGTGTGAGCTTCTCCAAATACATGACACGAGTCATCATCATCACCATCATCATCATCATCATCATCATCATCATCATCATCATCATCATCATCATCATCAGGTGGTCTGAGTGACGGACAGCATGGCTTATTCTCCTTTCTGTTCAGTTGGTCAGTGTCCAACAGAAGAAATAAAAGCAGTAATAATCTCAGCTCATGTTCTGACTTCAGTCTGTCGGGACTATAGAGACTCAAAGAGACTCAAGGAGACTCAGAGAGACTCAAGGAGACTCAGAGAGACTCAAGGAGACTCAAGGAGACTCAATGAGACTCAATGAGACTCAGAGAGACTCAAAGAGACTCCAGGAGACTCAAGGAGACTCAGAGAGACTCAAAGAGACTCCAGGAGACTCAAGGAGACTCAGAGAGACTCAATGAGACTCCAGGAGACTCCAGGAGACTCAAGGAGACTCAAGGAGACTCAATGAGACTCAGAGAGACTCAAAGAGACTCCAGGAGACTCAAGGAGACTCAATGAGACTCAAGGAGACTCAGAGAGACTCAAGGAGACTCAAAGAGACTCAAGGAGACTCAGAGAGACTCAATGAGACTCAAGGAGACTCAGAGAGACTCAAGGAGACTCAATGAGACTCAAAGAGACTCAGAGAGACTCAAGGAGACTCAATGAGACTCAAGGAGACTCAGAGAGACTTAAGGAGACTTAAGGAGACTCAAAGAGACTCAAAGAGACTCAAGGAGACTCATAGAGACTCAGAGAGACTCATAGAGACTCAGAGAGACTCAAGGAGACTCAAAGAGACTCAAGGAAACTAAAGCATCCGATCTGAGAGTTTACAGATTGTTAGAAGAGGTCAAAAAGACCCTTTAGTTGGGAGACGAGTGTGAGAGGAGCAGTTTATCACCTTATGTAGCCCCGCCCCCTTTCCCCTCTAGCTGTTAATGTGTAAGTTCTTCCGGATCACAAATTATATTCGACCAATACGTGATTTTAGATTGCCACGTCTGAAAAAACCAACCCAGAAAATCCATCTTAAAATGTATTAGTATTTATTTAGTCAAAAACAAATGATTTGAGACATTTTAATTCCAATTAGTGATGTTTTTTTGTACATTAATTACTTGAATGAACCCTGAATGCATCATTTTGAATGCGATACCTAAGAAGATGCGTTAAGTAACTCTGGAAAGGGACTTTTACTGAGCTTTCATGCAGACCATCTTCTTCACAATAAACTCTGAACTCATCTCTTATTAATAAACCGTTACACTTCCTCTAAAAACAGGAAGTGCTTCTTAGGAAAGAGTCATATATCTGGTTAGAAATGTAAACCTCTGGCTGCTCCAAAACCTCACACTCGCTCACAGGAAGTAGGCTTTTCAGAATAAAAGTCTGATTTGAAAAAGAGTCTTTAAATCGTAGAAACACTTCGTAAAGAGAGCACCAACCGTTATGGTGAAGTCACAAAGCAATCAGCTGTTAGATACGGCTCGATGGAAGAGAACAGCGCAAACAAAGCTGAGGATTCTGGGTAGAAAGGCTTCCAGCTGCACCACGAGCCAATAGAAAAGGCAGAAATATCGTGCGGTCGGCTCTTTGTCGTCGTTGTTACGGTAAAAAGATCCATAGAAGAAGGAATGAAAAGAGGAGATAAAAGAGCCCCGAGTCCGCCAGTGTTTCGGTCGCGTTTGTGAGACTGTGTGAGACGGTGTATGTATGTATCAGCTGTGGGTGCAGAGCCTCAGTCCGGCCACCAGGGGGAGCAGGTTGAGCATCAGGAGCCACAGAGTGAAGGCTAACCCCGGAGCTCCGGAGCACGGGTCTGTAACACAAGGTAATTATCAAGATATTAAAAAAAATAAGAATAATAAGAATCCATCTATCTATCTATATTATCATTAAGCTGAAAAAAAAAGAGCAGCAGTGCCACTGACCAATGGGAATGCTCCTGGAGGTGTTGAGGGGCGGGGCTTGGAGAGGGCAGTGTTCACAGAAGTCTTTGCAGGTGGGGCAGATCAACTGTCCGTTATAAACCCAGTCATTCAGCTTCACACTGACACTGAGCAGCTGACCAGCTCTCAGGCAGAGGTACGACACATCCTGAACAAACACTGTGAGACCAGAGGGAGAGCACAGCACCTGCAGAGAGAGAGGACTCTTTAAAGTAGAGACACTACATACTGATATACACCCGAACATCAGCAGGAGAGGACTCTTTAAAGTAGAGACACTACATACTGATATACACCTGAACATCAGCAGGAGAGGACTCTTTAAAGTAGAGACACTACATACTGATATACGCCTGAACATCAGCAGGAGAAGACTCTTTAAAGTAGAGACACTACATACTGATATACACCTGAACATCAGCAGGAGAGGACTCTTTAAAGTAGAGACACTACATACTGATATACACCTGAACATCAGCAGGAGAGGACTCTTTAAAGTAGAGACACTACATACTGATATACACCTGAACATCAGCAGGAGAGGACTCTTTAAAGTAGAGACTCTACATACTGATATACACCTGAACATCAGCAGGAGAGGACTCTTTAAAGTAGAGACACTACATACTGATATACACCTGAACATCAGCAGGAGAGGACTCTTTAAAGTAGAGACACTACATACTGATATACACCCGAACATCAGCAGGAGAGGACTCTTTAAAGTAGAGACACTACATACTGATATACACCTGAACACCAGCAGGAGAGAACTCTTTAAAGTAGAGACACTACATACTGATATACCTGAACATCAGCAGGAGAGGACTCTTTAAAGTAGAGACACTAAATACTGATATACACCTGAACATCAGCAGGAGAGGACTCTTTAAAGTAGAGACACTAAACACTGATATTCACCTGAACATCAGCAGGAGAGGACTCTTTAAAGTAGAGACACTACATACTGATATACACCAGAACATCAGCAGGAGAGGACTCTTTAAAGTAGAGACACTACATACTGATATACACCTGAACATCAGCAAGAGAGGACTCTTTAAAGTAGAGACACTACATACTGATATACCTGAACATCAGCAGGAGAGGACTCTTTAAAGTAGAGACACTAAATACTGATATACACCTGAACATCAGCAGGAGAGGACTCTTTAAAGTAGAGACACTACATACTGATATACACCTGAACATCAGCAGGAGAGGACTCTTTAAAGTAGAGACACTACATACTGATATACACCAGAACATCAGCAGGAGAGGACTCTTTAAAGTAGAGACACTACATACTGATATACACCTGAACATCAGCAGGAGAGGACTCTTTAAAGTAGAGACACTACATACTGATATACACCTGAACATCAGCAGGAGAGGACTCTTTAAAGTAGAGACACTACATACTGATATACACCTGAACATCAGCAGGAGAGGACTCTTTAAAGTAGAGACACTACATACTGATATACACCTGATCATCAGCAGGAGAGGACTCTTTAAAGTAGAGACACTACATACTGATATACACCTGAACATCAGCAGGAGAGGACTCTTTAAAGTAGAGACACTAAACACTGATATACACCTAAACATCAGCAGGAGAGGACTCTTTAAAGTAGAGACACTACATACTGATATACACCTGAACATCAGCAGTAGAGACACTACATACTGATATACACCTGAACATCAGCAGGAGAGGACTCTTTAAAGTAGAGACACTACATACTGATATACACCTGAACATCAGCAGGAGAGGACTCTTTAAAGTAGAGACACTACATACTGATATACACCTGAACATCAGCAGGAGAGGACTCTTTAAAGTAGAGACACTACATACTGATATACACCTGAACATCAGCAGGAGAGGACTCTTTAAAGTAGAGACACTACATACTGATATACACCTGAACATCAGCAGGAGAGGACTCTTTAAAGTAGAGACACTACATACTGATATACACCTGAACATCAGCAGGAGAGGACTCTTTAAAGTAGAGAGACTACATACTGATATACACCTGAACATCAGCAGGAGAGGACTCTTTAAAGTAGAGACTCTACATACTGATATACACCAGAACATCAGCAGGAGAGGACTCTTTAAAGTAGAGACATTACATACTGATATACACCTGAACATCAGCAGGAGAGGACTCTTTAAAGTAGAGACACTACATACTGATATACACCTGAACATCAGCAGGAGAGGACTCTTTAAAGTAGAGACACTACATACTGATATACACCTGAACATCAGCAGGAGAGGACTCTTTAAAGTAGAGAGACTACATACTGATATACACCTGCACATCAGCAGGAGAGGACTCTTTAAAGTAGAGACTCTACATACTGATATACACCTGAACATCAGCAGGAGAGGACTCTTTAAAGTAGAGACACTACATACTGATATACACCTGAACATCAGCAGGAGAGGACTCTTTAAAGTAGAGACACTACATACTGATATACACCTGCACATCAGCAGGAGAGGACTCTTTAAAGTAGAGACACTACATACTGATATACACCTGAACATCAGCAGGAGAGAACTCTTTAAAGTAGAGACACTACATACTGATATACACCTGAACATCAGCAGGAGAGGACTCTTTAAAGTAGAGACACTACATACTGATATACACCTGAACATCAGCAGGAGAGGACTCTTTAAAGTAGAGACACTACATACTGATATACACCTGAACATCAGCAGGAGAGGACTCTTTAAAGTACAGACACTACATACTGATATACACCTGAACATCAGCAGGAGAGGACTCTTTAAAGTAGAGACATTACATACTGATATACACCTGAACATCAGCAGGAGAGGACTCTTTAAAGTAGAGACGCTACATACTGATATACACCTGAACATCAGCAGGAGAGGACTCTTTAAAGTAGAGACACTACATACTGATATACACCTGAACATCAGCAGGAGAGGACTCTTTAAAGCAGAGACACTACATACTGATATACACCTGAACATCAGCAGGAGAGGACTCTTTAAAGTAGAGACACTACATACTGATATACACCTGAACATCAGCAGGAGAGGACTCTTTAAAGTAGAGACACTACATACTGATATACACCTGAACATCAGCAGGAGAGGACTCTTTAAAGTAGAGACACTACATACTGATATACACCTGAACATCAGCAGGAGAGGACTCTTTAAAGCAGAGACACTACATACTGATATACACCTGAACATCAGCAGGAGAGGACTCTTTAAAGTAGAGACACTACATACTGATATACACCTGAACATCAGCAGGAGAGGACTCTTTAAAGTAGAGACACTACATACTGATATACACCTGAACATCAGCAGGAGAGGACTCTTTAAAGTAGAGACACTACATACTGATATACACCTGAACATCAGCAGGAGAGGACTCTTTAAAGTAGAGACACTACATACTGATATACACCTGAACATCAGCAGGAGAGGACTCTTTAAAGTAGAGACACTACATACTGATATACACCTGCTAATCAGCAGGAGAGGACTCTTTAAAGTAGAGACACTACATACTGATATACACCTGAACATCAGCAGGAGAGGACTCTTTAAAGTAGAGACACTACATACTGATATACACCTGAACATCAGCAGGAGAGGACTCTTTAAAGTAGAGACATTACATACTGATATACACCTGAACATCAGCAGGAGAGGACTCTTTAAAGTAGAGACGCTACATACTGATATACACCTGAACATCAGCAGGAGAGGACTCTTTAAAGTAGAGACACTACATACTGATATACACCTGAACATCAGCAGGAGAGGACTCTTTAAAGCAGAGACACTACATACTGATATACACCTGAACATCAGCAGGAGAGGACTCTTTAAAGCAGAGACACTACATACTGATATACACCTGAACATCAGCAGGAGAGGACTCTTTAAAGTAGAGACACTACATACTGATATACACCTGAACATCAGCAGGAGAGGACTCTTTAAAGTAGAGACACTTCATACTGATATACACCTGAACATCAGCAGGAGAGGACTCTTTAAAGTAGAGACACTACATACTGATATACACCTGAACATCAGCAGGAGAGGACTCTTTAAAGTAGAGACACTACATACTGATATACACCTGAACATCAGCAGGAGAGGACTCTTTAAAGTAGAGACACTACATACTGATATACACCTGACCATCAGCAGGAGAGGACTCTTTAAAGTAGAGACACTACATACTGATATACACCTGAACATCAGCAGGAGAGGACTCTTTAAAGTAGAGACACTACATACTGATATACACCTGAACATCAGCAGGAGAGGACTCTTTAAAGTAGAGACACTACATACTGATATACACCTGAACATCGGCAGGAGAGAACTCTTTAAAGTAGAGACACTACATACTGATATACACCTGAACATCAGCAGGAGAGGACTCTTTAAAGTAGAGATACTACTTACTGATATACACCTGAACATCAGCAGGAGAGGACTCTTTAAAGTGTGCAATGGGGTTATTTAAATGTTATCTAGGGACCTTGTAGCAGCCGGAGCCCCAGTCAGGATACGTCATCTTCCTCGTGCACTGCTCCATGATAAAGGCCGACTTCTGGTACAAACACACCGAGTCCGATCCATACTGCTCTGCCCCGTAGTGCCGCCACCAGTCGGAACACACACCACACACACACACACACACACACACACACACACACACACACACACACAACACACACACACACACACACACACACACACACACACACACACACACACACACACACACACACACACACACACACACACACACACACACACACACACACACACACACACACACACACACACACCACACACACACACACACACACACACACACACACACACACACACACACACACACACACACACACACACACACACACACACACACACACACACACACACACACACACACACACACACACACTTCACATATCTCACACTGATGGTACATTTCATGAATATCATCCACAGTAATCATCACTATGACAGAACACTCACTTTAACATGATCTGATAACACACTTTATGAAACGGGGGAATGAGGCAAAACCAATCTTCCAGTTTTCTATATAGTAATGTTTAAATATGCTAATGAGGCATTCTCTTATTAGATATGTGTTTATTGCATACATCAGAGAAATGTGATCATGTGATAGCCAGGTTGTTGTTGACATGTTGGAGTCAGATGTTTCCACAGAGGGGATATATTAATGTGATATTAATGTGTTACAAGTGTGCTATTAGTGTGCTATTGTGCTATTGGTGTGTTAGTGTGTCATTAGTGTGTTATTATTATTAATAATAATAATAATAATAATACATGGGACTTTTATAGCGCTTGTCATGAAACTCAAAGACGCTTTGACAGAGAGTTAAGATAAAAAAATAAAAAATAGAAAACAAAGAAATACAAAAAGAGATAAACAGAACAGAAAATAGGGGGGGGGGGGGTCAGTGGTTGAATGCAGTGTTGAACAGGTGGGCTTTGAGTGATGTTTTGAATGCTGTGAGGGAGGAAGAGTCTCTGATGGATTGGGGTAGTGAGTTCCAGAGGGTGGGTGCAGCAACGGAGAAGGCTCTGTCGCCCCAGGACTTGAGGTTGGTCCGGGTGGGGAGGGACAGGAGGTTGGCAGTAGCAGAGCGGAGGGAGCGAGTGGGAGTGTGTCTGTGGAGGAGGTCAGTCAGGTGGGGGGGCCAGGTTATGGAGGGTTTTGTACGTCATCAGGAGGATCTTGTACTGAATTAATGTGTTGTTAGTGTGTTGTTAGTGTGTGTTGTAAGTGTGTGTTATAAGTGTGTGTTGTAAGTGTGTGTTACCGGGCTGGTTGAGGGACACCCTGCAGTACGAGTTCCTCTGATATTCTCCACTCAGGTGCCAGCTGAACTCCTGACTGAAGGGACAGAAGTCTGCGATCTCCACCGCCCCCCCGAACAACGCCAGCTGATCAGAGGGCACGTCTGGGATGCTGTCAAAGTACTGACACACACACACGTCAACACACATCAGTATAATAGAGAGGTATGAAGTGTGAAATTAACTCAAACTGCCAGAAAGATATGCTCAGGAAATAACCATCAAAATATCTAAAAACAGCTTTCTGCAGAATCAGGGTAAAATTCTTATTTATGTGTGTATAATGTGTGTGTGTGTGTGTGTGTGTGTCTCTGTGACTGTCTCTGTGTCAGTGTGAGTGTGTGTATATGTCTCTGTGACTGTCTCTGTGTCAGTGTGACCATGTGTGTGTGTGTCTGTCTCTGTGTGAGCGTGTGTGTGAGAGCATGTATGTGTGTGTGTACCTGGTACTCCAGTGGCAGCTCCTCACTGTATCTCTGCAGGTTACAGACGGCCACAGCCAGCTGGTCCTGTCTGCAGGTGAGCTGCAGAGGAGAAGCTCTCACTGTGTCACAGTATGGAGTCACTGAGGAGCGCCTGCCACACACACACACACACACACACACACACACACACACACACACACACACACACACACACACACACACACACACACACACACACACACACACACACACACACACACACACACACACACACACACACACACACCGTTGACCAAAGTGCTGTACAGGGAACACATATAATATAGAGCAACACAATAGGAGTAAAATTATTAAAACATAATTAAAAACAAGATAAAAAAGCACAATAACTAGAAACATAAAAATATATAGAAATGTCATGTTCAGCTAGTATTAACACACATTACTACATTACATGTTAGACGCTTTCATCCAAAGCGACTTACATACACTGAACAAAAATATAAACGCAACACTTTTGTTTTTGCTCCCATTCTTCATGAGATGAACTCAAAGATCTAAAACATTTTCTATAAACACAAAATAACCATTTCTCTCAAATATTGTTCACAAATCTGAAAGATCTGTGATAGTGAGCACTTCTCCTTTGCCGAGATAATCCATCCCACCTCACAGGTGTGGCATATCAAGATGCTGATTAGACAGCATGATTATTGCACAGGTGTGCCTTAGGCTGGCCACAATAAAAGGCCACTCTGAAACGTGCAGTTTTGCTTTATTGGGGGGGTCTGGGAGGGTCCGAAAACCAGTCAGTATCTGGTGTGACCACCATTTACTATAGAACCTAAAGCACCTTCTGACACCAACCTTATCACCTTTATTACTACCTTTTCGCACCACCTTAGTTCCTTTAACAGGTCCATCAAACACAATTTTCGTTTTATGCAGTCCACCGTCCCCTCACTCACCCCCTTCAATACCATCATGGCGTACCGTCGCAATAAGAACTTAAAAGATATCTTGGTGCACACAGCTCTTGATAAGACCGTCGCCATACCTTCAAACCTGGATACCTACTTTACGCACCTCAAATTGGGGGGGTCTGGGGGGGTTCAGAAAACCAGTCAGTATCTGGTGTGAGGGGTAGGGTTAGCGTAATGTTGTGAATCGAGTGGCCCATGGTGGTGGTGGGGTTATGGTATGGGCAGGCGTATGTTATGGACGACGAACACAGGCCACTCGATTCACAACATTACCCTAACCCTACCCCTCACACCAGATACTGACTGGTTTTCGGACCCTCACAGATTTTTTCAGACTTGTGAACAATATTTGAGAGAAATGGTTATTTTGTGTATATAGAAAATGTTTTAGATTTATATTTTTGTTCAGTTCTGTGGACAATCCCCACAGGAGCAATTTGGGGTGAAGTGTCTCAGGGACACAACGACATGCTGACTGCAGTGGGACTCGAACTTGCTACCCCCTGATTCGAAGTTCAGCACAATATCCACTGAGCCACAACACACACGGTTTTCCTTTCATTCGTTTGTGTTGCTCTACACGCATTATATTAAATATTAGCTTCTCTGATTTCATTATCTCTGATCTCACGGACCTCTGTCTCTGCCGGTCCATCCAGAACTTGCAGCTCTTCATCACGAAGTCGCAGCCGAGCCCCCGGCCCCAGTCCAGCCGCTCTGCCAGGCTGTAGTTGGCTCTGTACCAGCCGCTATCCTCCATGAGGGCCAGCGTGAGGCGCGAGAACACCCGGTTCTGAGTGTGGGAGCCCGTCATCGCCTCGTTCTGAGGAGCACAGGATATCAGGAGCAAGATCTGAGCAAGTCTGGCAGTGTGCACTCATTTCAGTGTCATGGCATTTCTTTGGCAAAAGTGATGAATCTCTGCGTGCTCATGTGTCTGAATACCAATGTGTGTATATCTTTGCATTTGGCCCTATGGATCTGTTGCAACTATGTCTGCATGCACCGCACGTCACCACCGCTAAGCTAAAGGAGGCTAATGTTGGGCTATAAAGGAACTACAGCACGGTCACATGACTTCACGTCACCACCGATAAGCTAAAGGAGGCTACTGTTGGGCTATAAAGGAACTACAGCACGGTCACATTACTTCACGTCACCACCGCTAAGCTAAAGGTGGCTAATGTTGGGCTATAAAGGAACTACAGCACGGTCACATGACTTCACGTCACCACCGCTAAGCTAAAGGAGGCTAATGTTGGGCAATAAAGGAACTACAGCACGGTCACATAACTTCACGTCACCACCGCTAAGCTAAAGGTGGCTAATGTTGGGCTATAGAGGAACTACATCACGGTCAAATGACTTCACTTCACCACCGCTAAGCTAAAGGAGGCTAATGTTGGGCTATAAAGGAACTACAGCACGGTCACATGACTTCACGTCACCACCGCTAAGCTAAAGGAGGCTAATGTTGGGCTATAAAGGAACTACAGCACGGTCACATGACTTCACGTCACCACCGCTAAGGTAAAGGTGGCTAATGTTGGGCTATAAAGGAACTACAGCACGGTCACATGACTTCACGTCACCACCGCTAAGCTAAAGGAGGCTAATGTTGGGCTATAAAGGAACTACAGCACGGTCACATGACTTCACGTCACCACCGCTAAGCTAAAGGCGGCTAATGTTGGGCTATAAAGGATCTACAGCAAGGTCACATGACTTCACGTCACCACCGCTAAGCTAAAGGAGGCTAATGTTGGGCTATTGAGGAACTACAGCACGGTCACATGACTTCACGTCACCACCGCTAAGCTAAAGGAGGCTAATGTTGGGCTATAAAGGAACTACAGCACGGTCACATGACTTCACGTCTCCACCGCTAAGCTAAAGGAGGCTAATGTTGGGCTATAAAGGAACTACAGCAGAGTCACATGACTTCACCACCGCTAAGCTAAAGGTGGCTAATGTTGGGCTATAAAGGAACTACAGCACGGTCACATGACTTCACGTCACCACCGCTAAGCTAAAGGAGGCTAATGTTGGGCTATAAAGGAACTACAGCACGGTCACATGACTTCACGTCACCACCGCTAAGGTAAAGGTGGCTAATGTTGGGCTATAAAGGAACTACAGCACGGTCACATGACTTCACGTCACCACCGCTAAGCTAAAGGAGGCTAATGTTGGGCTATAAAGGAACTACAGCACGGTCACATGACTTCACGTCACCACCGCTAAGCTAAAGGAGGCTAATGTTGGGCTATAAAGGAACTACAGCACGGTCACATGACTTCACGTCACCACCGCTAAGCTAAAGGCGGCTAATGTTGGGCTATAAAGGATCTACAGCACGGTCACATGACTTCACGTCACCACCGCTAAGCTAAAGGAGGCTAATGTTGGGCTATAGAGGAACTACAGCACGGTCACATGACTTCACGTCACCACCGCTAAGCTAAAGGAGGCTAATGTTGGGCTATAAAGGAACTACAGCACGGTCACATGACTTCACGTCTCCACCGCTAAGCTAAAGGAGGCTAATGTTGGGCTATAAAGGAACTACAGCACGGTCACATGACTTCACGTCTCCACCGCTAAGCTAAAGGAGGCTAATGTTGGGCTATAAAGGAACTATAGCACGGTCACATGACTTCACGTCACCACCGCTAAGCTAAAGGAGGCTAATGTTGGGCTATAAAGGAACTATAGCACGGTCACATGACTTCACGTCACCACCGCTAAGCTAAAGGAGGCTAATGTTGGGCTATAAAGGAACTACAGCACGGTCACATGACTTCACGTCACCACCGCTAAGCTAAAGGAGGCTAATGTTGGGCTATAAAGGAACTACAGCACGGTCACATGACTTCACGTCACCACCGCTAAGCTAAAGGAGGCTAATGTTGGGCTATAAAGGAACTACAGCACGGTCACATGACTTCACGTCGCCACCGCTAAGCTAAAGGAAGCTAATGTTGGGCTATAAAGGAACTACAGCACGGTCACATGACTTCACGTCACCACCGCTAAGCTAAAGGAGGCTAATGTTGGGCTATAAAGGAACTACAGCACGGTCACATGACTTCACGTCTCCACCGCTAAGCTAAAGGAGGCTAATGTTGGGCTATAAAGGAACTACAGCACGGTCACATGACTTCACGTCTCCACCGCTAAGCTAAAGGAGGCTAATGTTGGGCTATAAAGGAACTATAACACGGTCACATGACTTCACGTCACCACCGATAAGCTAAAGGAGGCTAATGTTGGGCTATAAAGGAACTATAGCACGGTCACATGACTTCACCTCACCACCGCTAAGCTAAAGGAGGCTAATGTTGGGCTATAAAGGAACTACAGCACGGTCACATGACTTCACGTCACAACCGCTAAGCTAAAGGTGGCTAATGTTGGGCTATAAAGGAACTACAGCACGGTCACATGACTTCACGTCACCACCGCTAAGCTAAAGGAGGCTAATGTTGGGCTGTAAAGGAACTACAGCACGGTCACATGACTTCACGTCACCACCGCTAAGCTAAAGGAGGCTAATGTTGGGCTATAAAAGAACTACAGCACGGTCACATGACTTCACGTCACCACCGCTAAGCTAAAGGAGGCTAATGTTGGGCTATAAAGGAACTACAGCACAGTCACATGACTTCACCACCGCTAAGCTAAAGGTGGCTAATTTTGGGCTATAAAGGAACTACAGCACGGTCACATGACTTCACGTCACCACCGCTAAGGTAAAGGTGGCTAATGTTGGGCTATAAAGGAACTACAGCACGGTCACATGACTTCACGTCACCACCGCTAAGCTAAAGGAGGCTAATGTTGGGCTATAAAGGAACTACAGCACGGTCACATGACTTCACGTCACCACCGCTAAGCTAAAGGCGGCTAATGTTGGGCTATAAAGGATCTACAGCACGGTCACATGACTTCACGTCACCACCGCTAAGCTAAAGGAGGCTAATGTTGGGCTATAGAGGAACTACAGCACGGTCACATGACTTCACGTCACCACCGCTAAGCTAAAGGAGGCTAATGTTGGGCTATAAAGGAACTACAGCACGGTCACATGACTTCACGTCTCCACCGCTAAGCTAAAGGAGGCTAATGTTGGGCTATAAAAGAACTGCAGCACGGTCACATGACTTCACGTCTCCACCGCTAAGCTAAAGGAGGCTAATGTTGGGCTATAAAGGAACTATAGCACGGTCACATGACTTCACGTCACCACCGCTAAGCTAAAGGAGGCTAATGTTGGGCTATAAAGGAACTATAGCACGGTCACATGACTTCACGTCACCACCGCTAAGCTAAAGGAGGCTAATGTTGGGCTATAAAGGAACTACAGCACGGTCACATGACTTCACGTCACCACCGCTAAGCTAAAGGAGGCTAATGTTGGGCTATAAAGGAACTACAGCACGGTCACATGACTTCACGTCTCCACCGCTAAGCTAAAGGAGGCTAATGTTGGGCTATAAAGGAACTACAGCACGGTCACATGACTTCACGTCTCCACCGCTAAGCTAAAGGAGGCTAATGTTGGGCTATAAAGGAACTACAGCACGGTCACATGACTTCACGTCACCACCGCTAAGCTAAAGGAGGCTAATGTTGGGCTGTAAAGGAACTACAGCACGGTCACATGACTTCACGTCACCACCGCTAAGCTAAAGGAGGCTAATGTTGGGCTATAAAGGAACTACAGCACGGTCACATGACTTCACGTCACCACCGCTAAGCTAAATGTGGCTAATGTTGGGCTATAAAGGAACTACAGCACGGTCACATGACTTCACGTCACCACCGCTAAGCTAAAGGAGGCTAATGTTGGGCTATAAAGGAACTACAGCACAGTCACATGACTTCACCACCGCTAAGCTAAAGGTGGCTAATGTTGGGCTATAAAGGAACTACAGCACAGTCACATAACTTCACCACCGCTAAGCTAAAGGAGGCTAATGTTGGGCTATAAAGGAACTACAGCACGGTCACATGACTTCACGTCACCACCGCTAAGCTAAAGGAGGCTAATGTTGGGCTATAAAGGAACTACAGCACAGTCACATGACTTCACCACCGCTAAGCTAAAGGAGGCTAATGTTGGGCTATAAAGGAACTACAGCACGGTCACATGACTTCACGTCACCACCGCTAAGGTAAAGGTGGCTAATGTTGGGCTATAAAGGAACTACAGCACGGTCACATGACTTCACGTCACCACCGCTAAGCTAAAGGAGGCTAATGTTGGGCTATAAAGGAACTACAGCACGGTCACATGACTTCACGTCACCACCGCTAAGGTAAAGGTGGCTAATGTTGGGCTATAAAGGAACTACAGCACGGTCACATGACTTCACGTCACCACCGCTAAGCTAAAGGAGGCTAATGTTGGGCTATAAAGGAACTACAGCACGGTCACATGACTTCACGTCACCACCGCTAAGCTAAAGGAGGCTAATGTTGGGCTATAAAGGAACTACAGCACAGTCACATGACTTCACCACCGCTAAGCTAAAGGTGGCTAATGTTAGAGTGTCAGACCTCCAGCAGTCTCTTCTCCCAGTGGTTCAGCTCCGTCCCGGTTCCCCCCTGGTTCTCCAGCTCCATGCCCTCCAGGATGGGACAGTTAAAGTGTCTCCGGGCCTCCTCCTGCAGACACAGATATTGATATGTTTTCATTATTGTTTTCTCTTTTCTTGTTATATTTTCCCACGGCTTAAGGAGATGTTTTCCAAAAATATTAAAATGCAATCTAAGACAAATCCTCCAGTTTTCTATATAGTAATGTTTAAATATGCTAATGAGGCATTCTCTTATTAGATATGTGTTTATTTGCATACATTGCCCTCACAGAAAGGTGATCATGTGATAGAGCCAGGTTCGTGTTTCCTGTTGTTGACATGTTAGAGCCAGATGTTTCCACAGAGGGATATCTCTTTGCATCGTTCCAGAAATCAGAAAATACTGCCATAAGACGTCATTTCCTGCAAGTTTCTCCGTGTGAAATGTGATATGAACAACAAGCAGGCTTTGAGATCGCTGTACTTTGGTAAACTGAGACACTAAGGACATGAGTCAGCGTTTCCGCCAGGGGGGCGTCTTGCCGTCACGTGACGCCCTCATTCAGCTCGGGACGCCCTGAACTCGAGCGCGTCCAAAACAAATTATAATTCGAGAGAAGATCGAGTTTGACGCCCTCTCAGCCCTGGTCTGGCGGAAACACTGACATGAATAGTCTATAAAATGTCAGAAAAGTAAAATAATTGTGAATCTCTAAATGTCTTTTCTGTCTTACCCACGATCCAAATATCAGAGATAATGATTTAACTTTAATACGAGCATTTGAGAGACTGCAATCAGGGGTTTTCTGAGGCACTAAGGACATGTTAGGTGGGGGATGTTGGGGTCTCTCACCACGACGCGGGGGGTCACCAGCACGTGGACCTGGTGTCGGACCATCTCTCCTCCTCTGATGTCCCACAGCCGGACCACCCTCCGGATCACCGCCTCGCTCCACTGGTACAGACCCAGGCTGCACACACAGGAGGAAACGTTACTACAACAAGGCGCCAACACATCGTCCATTTTAGTTTGAATAATATTCCTTCCCATCCAACGCCTGCCTCTCTGAAATGCATTTTAAAGGTCCCCTATCATCCTGTTCTTCATCAATATATCCAGGTGCCCAAGGCACACCAAAGGACAAGTAAAAATCTCAAGGCACACCTATTGTGCAAAATAGCCCTTATAACACGTGTTATCACTCATATCTGTAAATGTGCTTAATTATTTACTAATGCCAAATAAAATGTGACAAAGACAACTATATTACTCATGAAATATTTATTAACGAAATATTTCAGAAATTAATTTGAAACTTTATCAAATTAGGCTTCATCAAAGAAGCAACACACTCATTTAAACCAGACAGGTCACACAATTAACATTTCAGCAATCAGCATTGAAACATGTGCTATTGTAAATATTTTGCCGACTTACAAATGAGTGAGAAACATGTGCCTGTCGAGGCGCGCAGAATGTTTTAATCCTTGGTGGCACTGAGGAGAGGGCCACTCGCAAGTCCTGCTCAACAGAGAGCCGTGACCTCCTGTTGTTCTTCATGTAAACCAGAGTAGAGAACGCCAACTCCAGAGATGGGGTCGTTACTAATTTGTTTTAAATATATTACATATTACTTTAAAAAAAGTAATATATTACACTACTTCGTTACTATCTACATAAAGTAACTCGTTACTTTACTCGCCGAGCACGTACGAACTGCGCATGCGTGAGTGGCAATAACTTTCCTTACCAGCAGGCGGCGGTAGTGTGTATTAGTCATTCAAAACAGGCAACAACCGGAAGACAGAGAAGAAGAACATACTGCGTGATATAAACAAACAACACATAGCGTGTGCGGTAGCTTCACCTTAGCATGTGTTCTTTGCAGGTGCTTGTTGAGGTTTGACCACGTGGTGTTTCCAGCAGTGGATAACAGCTTCTGGCCTGGACACAGTTTGCACCTCACCGTCACATTCCTGTCTATTCTTCGGACGAACTCAAAGTAATGGGCATACCTCCACCCCTCGAGAGTTATCGCTGACTCAGCCATGTTTATGCAGCACTGCACGTGGAGATGTGGACGCGCAAGTCGCGCAGATTACGTACATATAAACCTACAAAGTACTGATATTATAGTAAAAACATTATTTTTGTGTAGTTGTATATTGCAATAATAACGTATGGTTGGCACAAAATCCCGCTGCACACCGTTTGGGAACCACTGCTTTAGATGAAGATAAGGTAGGAGCCAGAGGAGATTCAGGTGATAAGGGGGGGGGGGGTTACCTTGGTTGCTGATTGGCTAATGGTTACACAAGACAACACATCGTTATGACATCATCAAGTGGCCAAAATCTGATCAGCTCATTTTCAGACAGGTTTTTATAGAAATGGATCAAAAAGAGAGAGAATCTTTGTTCCTGAAACTTTCAGAGTCTCTTTCCACAGAGGGGACACATGTTGATGTAGAAGAGACATGAAGAAGAGGGACCCATGTTGATGTAGAAGAGACATGGAGAAGAGGGGACACATGTTGATGTAGAAGAGACATGAAGAAGAGGGGACACATGTTGATGTAGAAGAGACATGGAGAAGAGGGACACATGTTTGATGTAGAGAGACATAGAGAAGAGGGGACACATGTGATGTAGAAGAGACATAGAGAAGAGGGGACACATGTTGATGTAGAAGAGACATGAAGAAGAGGGGACACATGTTGATGAAGAGAAGAGACATGAAGAAGAGGGGACACATGTTGATGTAGAAGAGGACATGAAGAAGAGGGGACACATGTTGATGTAGAAGAGACATGATAGAAGGTACAGGGGGGGGGGGTAAGAGACTGAAAGAAGGGGGATCACATGTTGAATGTAAAGAGACTGAAGAAGAGGGGACACATGTTGATGTAGAAGAGACATGAAGAAGAGGGGACACATGTTGATGAAGAAGAGACATGAAGAAGAGGGGACACGTGTTGAGGTAGAAGAGACATGAAGAAGAGGGGACACATGTTGATGAAGAAGAGACATGAAGAAGAGGGGACACGTGTTGATGTAGAAGAGACATGAAGAAGAGGGGACAACATGTTGATGTAGAAGAGACATGATAAGAAGAAGGGGACACATGTTGATGTAGAAGAGACATGAAGAAGAGGGGACACATGTTGATGTAGAAGAGACATGAAGAAGAGGGACACAGGTTGATGTAGAAGAGACATGAAAGAAGAGGGGACACATGTTGATGTAGAAGAGACATGAAGAAGAGGGGACACATGTTGATGTAGAAAGAGACATGAAGAAGAGGGGACACATGTTGATGTAGAAGAGACATGAAGAAGAGGGGACACCGTGTTGATGTAGAAGAGACATGAAGAAGAGGGGACACGTGTTGATGTAGAAGAGACATGAAGAAGATGGGGACACAGTGTGATGAGAAGAGACATGAAAGAAGAGGGGACACTGTTAATGTAAGAAGAGACATGAAGAAGAGGGGACCATGTTGATGTAAAGAGACATGAAGAAGAGGGGGACACATGTTGATGTAAGACGAGGACATTGAAATGAAGAAGAGGGGACACATGTTGATGTAGAAGAGACAGAAAGAAGAGGGGACACATGTTGATGTAGAAGGAGAGGGACATGAAGAAGAAGAGGGGAACACATGTTGATTGTGGAATAGATATGAAGAAGAGGGTGACACATGTTTGATGTAGAAGAGGACAGAACGAAGCGGGGACACATGTGTTGGAGACCGAGACAGAAGAAGAGGGGACACAGTTGAGTAGAGATACATGAAGAAGAGGGGAACACATGTTGATGTAGATAGAGACATGGAGAAGACCGGGGACACATGTTGATGTAGAAGAGACATGAAGAAGAGGAGGACACTATGTTGATGTAGAAGAGACATGAAAGAAGAGGGGACGACACATGTTGATGTAGAAGAGACATGAAGAAGAGGGACACATGTTGATGTAGAAGAGAATGAAAGAGAGGGGACAACATGGTTTGATGATAGAAGAGACATGAAGAAGAGGGGACCCATGGTTGATTGTAGAAGAGACATGAAGAAGAGGGGACACATGGTTGATGTAGAAGAGACATGAAGAAGAGGGGACACATGTGATGTAGAAGAGACATGAAGAAGAGGGGACACATGTTGATGTAGAAGGACATGAAGAAGAGGGGACACATGTTTGATTGTAGAAGAGACATGAAGAAGAGGGGACACATGTTGATGTAGAAGAGACATGAAGAAGAGGGGGACACAGTGTTGATGTAGATAAGAGAGGACATGAAGAAGAAGAAGAGGGGACACATGGTTTGATGTAAGAAGAGACATGAAGAAAGGGGACACTTGTTAATGTAGAAGAAAATGTTGATGTAAAGAGACATGAAGAAGAGGGGACACATGTTGATGTAAGAAGAGACATGAAGAAGAGGGGACACATGTTGATGTAGAGAGACATGAAGAAGAGGGGACCACATGTTGATGTAGAAGAGACATGAAGAAGAGGGGACACATGTGATGTAGAAGAGACATGAAGAAGAGGGGACACATGTTGATGTAGAAGAGACATGAAGAAGAGGGGACACATGTTGATGTAGAAGAGACATGAAGAAGAGGGGACCACATGTTGATGTAGAAGAGACATGAAGAAGAGGGGACACATGTTGATGTAGAAGAGACATGAAGAAGAGGGGACACATGCTTGATGTAGAAGAGACATGAAGAAGAGGGGACACATGTTGATGTAGAAGAGACATGAAGAAGAGGGACACATGTTGATGTAGAAGAGACATGAAGAAAGAGGGGGACACATGTTGATGTAGAATAGGACATGCAAGAAGAGGACACATGTGAGAGAAGAAGAGGACATGTTGATGTAGAAGAGACATGAGAAGAGGGGACACATGTTGATGTAGAAGAGACATGAAGAAGAGGGGACACATGTTGATGTAGAAGAGACATGAAGAAGAGGGGACACATGTTGATGTAGAAGAGACATGAAGAAGAGGGGACACATGTTGATGTAGAAGAGACATGAAGAAGAGGGGACACATGTTGATGTAGAAGAGACATGAAGAAGAGGGGACACATGTTGATGTAGAAGAGACATGAAGAAGAGGGACACATGTTGATGTAGGAAGAGACATGAAGAAGAGGGGACACATGTTGATGTAGAAGAGACATGAAGAAGAGGGGACAACAGGTTGATGTAGAAGAGACATGAAGAAGAGGGGACACATGTTGATGTAGAAGAGACATGAAGAAGAGGGGACACATGTTGATGTAGAAGAGACATGAAGAAGAGGGGACACATGTTGATGTAGAAGAGACATGAAGAAGAGGGGACACATGTTGATGTAGAAGAGACATGAAGAAGAGGGGACACATGTTGATGTAGAAGAGACATGAAGAAGAGGGGACACATGTTGATGTAGAAGAGACATGAAGAAGAAGAGGGGACAATGTGATGTAGAAGAGACATGAAGAAGAGGGGACACATGTTGATGTAGAAGAGACATGAAGAAGAGGGGACACATGTTGATGTAGAAGAGACATGAAGAAGAGGGGACACCATGTTGATTGTAGAAGAGACATGAAGAAGAGGGGACCACATGTTGATGTAGGAAGAGACATGAAGAAGAGGGGACACATGTTGATGTAGAAGAGACATGGAGCAGAGGGGACACCTGTTGATGTAGAAGAGAACATTGAAGAGAGGGGACACATGGTTGATGTAGAAGAGACATGAAGAAGAGGGGACACATGTTGATGTAGAAGATACATGAAGAAGAGGGGGACACATGTTGATGTAGAAGAACATGAAGAAGAGGGGGACAACATAGCAAAAATTTGATGTAGAAGAGACATGAAGAAGATTGGGGGACACATGTTGATGTAGAAGAGACATGAAGAAGAGGGGACACATGTTGATGTAGAAGAGACATGAAGAAGAGGGGACAC